AGGTAGCTCAATCTGATTTGCAGCAGGGATGTGCAGAGGAGCATATGGGATGCAGGCAGTGCCACACACAAGGGTTGCTCATTTTAGGGCACCTCAATCCAGATTTACTCACCTGGACCAAGAGGGAGAACTATCAGCAACCTGAATTACTTATTAAAACTACAGAGGCTGAGCTGATCACAAACAGCAGCACTGTAAAGTGAAACTATCCACACCTGTTGACACTGCATAGGAAAAAAAAAACTGCATACACAAAACCAGCCAGGAAAAATATTCCTTAATATTATCTGTCCAGTACCTTTCAGTTATTAACATAATTTAGCAAACATTTCAAGCTGTTTACAAACCTCTAGCAGCAGCTACCAAAATCCCAGAAAAAAAATTAAATTAATGTTTTATAAAATTCCTTAAATTATAAAGCTTTTAGTTCCTTGTCATTGAAAGTTATTCTTCACCTCATTTTAATGTGCATATTTCAGCATTTAACATCATTAGAATAACAAATGCTGTTTTTAAGAAGGTAAGAGACTAAAGGATGGTACTTCAAACATAATTCAAACTACTACATTATACATATCACCATGAATCTGCAAACACATTCAGTTTTATTAAGAAAAAAAATCTTGCATGCTTCCTTCATACTGTCAAATTACTCATCTCTTGGACAAATGAATGAAATAAAAAAAGTAACATTAAATTTTTTATCATAAAAGCAAACTGATTTTGTGGCCAGCAAAACAGTGATAACCATTTATTTAAGAGGTTTAATGTTTGGCCAGCAAGGCAGTCTAACACTAAAAACCTGCCACCACTCTTTCAACTAAGTGACAAAGCCAAGAACACCAAGATCTCCAGAAGATATGCTGACATTCACAGAAATGGAAAATATTTTATTTTCCTGAATAAAAAGTTACTGCAATCCCATAGAAATTGCAAAGGCAAGACAGAAAGAGCTCTTTAAGATCTTTACTACTCAGAATTAATCAAAGCAAAACAGCCATCCTAGTGATAATCCCCTTTAGTGCTTCACAGTTTATGCAATAGTCAATTACTAAAGAGGATGAAAGACAGAACAATCTTTGCAAATAGGTCACTGTCTATATTTATAATGATTAAAACCAACCTGCTGCTAAAAGTAACTTTTAATAAGCATAAAAAGTAACATTCAGACAGTGCCATGTATTTATTCTTAAATACATTCTATGTCTCCTATGACAAAAGAGGAGGTAACATGCATCAGAAACAAAGTTATTTCCCATAGGTTATCCATTAGCATTGCCAAAAGCAGATTTAAATTTCTGTCTGTAATTTTATCATAAAGTATCATCCTCAAAGATATCACCTAAACATTCTTAACATCATCTCTGAACTTATCCAACTCTCCCTGTCTGCACACCCTCTCTCAAAACTTGGTAAGAAGGGAAGCATTGCCCATGGTGCTTTTTGAAGACCATTTTAATGTCTTCTTTTGCTTCAGCTCTTCCTGCCTGTTTAGGCATGCCTGAATGTGTAAGTCCTTTTTTTGTTTTTTCTTTTTTTACTTCAGAACAATTATCCAGGTCTCTGCTTCTACTGCATACTGCTCAGACATCCCATCTGCTTCTTTCAAGTACTGTCCCTATCTGCTAAAGAATCACTCAGAACTTTCCTTCTTCCCCATATGCTTGGCCTCCCTCAGGAATATTTTTGCCCTTTCCTTGGGATCAGAACATGACACCTGGCACCATTTTCCTGAAATTTCATTGAACTTCATTGATGCTTTGAGTGCCACCATTGTCTCAGTGATTCTTACAGCCAGCTGTGCATTCACTCAAACCATTTCATTCAGTTCCAATTCGACCTGCAGTTACTGTCAACACCAGAGATTTAAATCTGGTTAAACTGAAGCTTGTTTCCTCTCAAGCCCTACTTCCTCTAATTACCTCCAGCCTCCCACAGCTCAAGTCCATAAGCTAACCTATGGTTCTTACAATGCCTTATCCACCAGAGTGGCAACCAACAGTTATCATTTCTTTGCAATAAAACATCAAAAATGTTTATTACCCAGTCCTGATGTTTCTCTCGACCAAATCCCTTGCTACATCTATCTTCATTAGCAAATCCTTCTGCTCACGCTGCTACCTCTCTGTCCTTCACATATTTCATCTGCTTAAAAATCCTTCCTTTTTGCATTACTTTGGAGGCTCTGGATCTTCCAGTATTTCCACAGCCAGCAAGCTTATGACTTCAAGACTGTACAGCTGCAGAACCAGCACTTCATTACTGGAAAGGAGGAGGAGGATAATCTACAGAGAATAATGTAACCACTTCTTACAAAGATCTCACAAGAGAAGCATTCTTCTATATCTCATATATTTGTACTCAAGGACAGTGAAACACACTGAAGGTCAGGCTAAAACTGAATGCTCTCACCTCAATACCCCCAAAAAATTACTTACATGAAGGCATCATTAAGGTAATTCTAGCTTCTAATCTAAATTTAAGAGAAAACACCTGTAGCTTAGAGTTTATTATAATGCAGACTGCATAAAACTGAACTCCACAGCAGGCAGGGGAGGGAGAAGCAGTCAGTCTTGTGAAGTGAAATCCTGTTTGTGCGTGAAAGCCAGGAACTTGATGTTCTCACTACAGACTAAGAGCAATAAAAACAGCTTTCTGAGCCATTAATTTCTACACAGCTGATTTCTACTAAACAATGCTCATTATTGAAAGAATTCTGAAAAAACTGCCAAGCTGTTCCAGTGAGAAGGCTGGCACTCTGAACATCTAGACTGAGCTAACGGTGACATCAGTTCTACCACTGCTTTAATCCCCACAGCTACTAAATGTCAAACATTTTCATTGTATTTAAAGAGCTTGCAATTGTGCACCATGAGATTAAGTTACAAAATAAGGCAAACTGCAAGGCATAGCAAGCATCCACTCTTGTTGCCCAAGATTCTCATAATGGCAAGTGAAACTGCCAAGCATTTTCCACAGCCAAAGTGTGGCATTTTTAGCATTTGTCACTCTTAAACACTGTGAAAACTCCCCCCTTTCAGACCTCCCATAACAGTGTCTACAATACATGCATTGCTTCCCCACTCAGATATAAATTCATAAATCAGTTGTAGCGTTGAATAAAGTATAGTGGGGAGAGAGAATGGTGAAAACATTGTGTCACTGCATCAAGAGGCACAAAGTCCAGTGGAAACTGAGCTGCAGGCCATATATTTATTATTGACAAAAGACACCCATGTAATATTAATTCCATCTGCTTTACAGAAGGAAATGCATCAAATTATAGTCAACACAGAAGAAGGAACTGTCCTACCATGTAATAGAAATTTTAATGTAGTAAACCATTTAAAGTAGGATATATTTTCTAAACATTCCTTGTTATTTTCATAATTTGTTTGGCAATTGATTAATATGGCAGTAACATGCCAACACACACTTCTAAAATAAATATCTAATTATTTAATCACTTTATCGTGCCAAGCTCTGAGTGGTTCATATCAACTACACTGAGCTAGGGCAGTGCTGCAAAGAAAGTGCAAGAAAGCTCATGAATTCTCACACTGTGTAAGACATCACTGAAGAAAAGAAATTAAATTCAGTACTCCTATTCATTCCATACTATTTGGGGGAGGGGTGATGAAGTTAAAATTAACATAAAATATACAAATATTAGAGACGTGGTGACCTATAACTATAGAAACTGAACATCAAGAATGAGGCCAAGAACATAGTAGGATATTGAAAACTACAGATTCTAAATATTACAATAAGTATACATACACACAGTTCAAGATTCTGTAATTCACCTAATCAATCTTGTATCTTTAAGATCTTCCCATATTGACTCGTTCCTAAGCAGCTTTGCCTTCATTGTTCCTTATTAGCAAAGTACTGATTCACAGCTCTCAATGTTTTTTTCATTTCTTTTCATGTCTAATGTTAGTATCAAGTTTGATTTGAGATACTCTGGTACTCTTAACACATGCTGCCAAGTGTTGTAACAATCACTTTTTACTGTAACAATCACTTTTTATCCAAGCAAAAATAGTTTCACACTACAGCTTAAGTTCAAGAGTAGGGAGCTTTGAACAGAATTTAAAATAATTGAACATGTCCCTAAAGAAAGACGGGGAAGGCAAGTGTGAGGTGGGGAAATTATCTACATACACACATATATAAATATATAACTATGTGTATGCACACAAACATCACTGGTTTAAGAGCAAACCTGGATTACAACAGACTAATTAACTTGGTTACCCGTACCAGAAGTGACCTGATTAAGTCACAGTTCTAATCTTTTGATGGGGGTGGGGGTTGCCTGTTAAAAAAAAATTAAGAAGTGAGAGAAACTGCTTTACCAAGGACAAAGGCCGTCAATGCTCAGTTTGAACCAGAAGTAGGAGTACATCATTCCTGAGATTCTTCCATACTGATTAACAAACTCACATGTTTTGAGTTTTAATCCAGAGTAAAGTTGTGAGAAGCAAAATTGGCAGGGCTGACTCATTAAAGCAGTCTACAAATAAAATGATCAAGCCAGAAATTCAACTCCATATAAGTCTTAAGTGTAATTAAACCCACCGAGACATTAATTTACAGTTCTTATGTTATCTATACACAGTTAGGGAAAACTGACAGTAACTTGCACATTTCAACAGGCCAAATCATGAGGAGTTACAGCAGTAGGCTCCCTTCCTCTGAAAGAAAATACAACCCAAATTCCATGTCATATTAAAACAATCTTAATATGGAAACACTATTGTTCTTTAACTTTAAATCACAGAATAATGTGAATGGAATAAATTCCCATAGCACAGAAATTCTGCAAGAACTAAACACATGAACCGCTTTGATTTTAGTAACAATTTCATGCTGAGAGAAGACATTTTTATTTGAACAACTGGAAATTTTTGGGAATAAATCTCAAAACAGTAGCAGACAATTATGGCAAAAACAAAAGAAAACAAACCAGACATGGTGGCCACTTTTCAGCTTACCTGCACTTGTTCTGTGGAACTGCTACTGAGTTCATCTCCAGACTCTGAATCTTGGTGAATTTTTTCTGAGCCTTCTCCTGCTGAATCACAAGACTGTTCATGCAAAAAGCTGGTCTTCTCTATTTCCAAGAACTCTGGGCATGGGAAATGACCCATGGAAATGGTTCTGAACTGATTGGAAACCTTGGGAGATTGCAACTCATTGTTAAGTTTTCCATTGTTCTGGGTAAGGTCCAGACTCAACCCAAAAGTCTGACAGGGGCTATTGTTGGGTCCCAGGTTTTGATTGGCATCTCGAACTAAGCAAGACACTTGAACTGGAGAACATTTTCCAAAACTAGAAAGCTCTGGTGACTTATTCACATTTTCTGTTGATCTCTGTAATCCATGTGTCAACTTCAAGGTGTTATTTGGCAACATGCTTGCCTGCTTCACAGGTGGCATCAGTGCTTTCCGGGGTATTTCCTTCACATATTGAGCTGGCACATAAAAGGGTTTGGAATTTTCGTCTCTTTTGACTTGCCACCAATCATCATTAGTCTTTTTCACTAAGATGTATTTTTCCCCGTGCTTGATCACAATTTTCTTGTCCTTGGCCTCATACTCATAGTCATACTCCACTTGAATGTAAAATTGTCCTGGAAGCATCTTCCCACCCTTATCAGCCATTGCTATCTGAAGATATTTCACCTTTTCAGACAAAAGGTAAGCGACATTCTGTTTCAGTGTTATTTTCCTGTTGATGTTCAGAGCTGTAAGACAAAAAACCAGTATATGTAATCAAGTGGCTGTTTAAAAGCACTTTGGATAAAAATAATTTTGAAGAAATCCTGCCTACTTAGACTAATTGATGAAAAATGCAGTATTTTCAGATATCCTTCTGCGTGTTGAAACAGAAAATCAGTAGAACAACTTAGGTCACTGATTGAACTGTCCTATTCACACAAGCCTCCTGCTATCAAGTGGCTCATTAGCTTCATTAATTAATTAGTTATTGCTTCTATTACTGATTAATATTGATTAATCACTGGGGATTTGGTGAGGGGACTGATCTGAGTCAATCTCTTGCTTACATATAGGCTTAATTTCTTAAATGAACTGTTAATACACTAGTTTTAATCAAAATATTCCAAAGAAGACTTATCTACCTTACAGAAAACCTGATCTAACCAAATATTTAAGGGCTAGAAATTAAAATGCAAACAAAACATAGTGACACAGTGACAAAACAGGACTATGAACCAAAATGGGTAATGAAATAATTACTAATACATGAAAATTCTGAAAAGCACTTCTCAGCATCTTTATAATCCAGACAACTGCCACTGCATCCACACCTACAAACAAATTCTATTTAATCATGTAGCATCAATGTCCAAATTCATGGCTGGGTAAGCATTAGTCTTGCCAACTTGCACTGAACACAATATAGTAGGATTTTTAACCTTGAAAATCAATGCATGTAAGATCTCCATCATTCACACAGCAAGTAGGAGAATTCAAGTAAAATGCTGCCATATTTAATCTTATGAAGATTAACAAACACATTTTTTATTTTTAAATGCACACATTTCACGAATGAGAAAAGTTATGTAGAAACTTGCAGCCCTGCAAGTTAAGACTTTGTGATGAGATTTGTAGCCTTTACCCTGCCACAGAGTGGAACTAATGTAATTCCATGCAGGCACACACAAGCAGAGTGAACTCAGCTGCTAAACGGGACCAAGGACAGAAATAACAACAGAAAAGAACTTCTGGGGAGATCTAAAGCAGAAACCACTAAGGACCATTCAATTTTCTTTTGCTATTTCTGTTATTTGATCTGAGCCTTGAAAAAATACATTTAGATCATAACTCCGAGACAAAGTAGAAGGTAAAAAGCTCAAATACTACACCAAGACAGAAGTGCCCATCTTTAATCTATGTCTCTCTCCTACAGACCATCTTCTTTCACTTCCAAGAAGCATTTCCTACAGGTAACCAGGAAGCCACCACCGTTTTCAAAGTTCCACACAGAACCACAAGGTCAGGTTTGCAATTTTATCAAAGACTTGACAGAAGGAATGATGGTGCCCCATTCAACAAAGCTGACAATGGGAACACAAAGCAGGAGAAAAGAATGCCAGGATTCTGGTGTTTACTCTCTACCATAAAATGGTACATTGACATTCAAAGTCTATTTACAGCCTCGGTACAAAACAACTTGCTTACCTGGTGTTCTACATAAATAGGTGTTTTTAAGTGCAGCTCTGCAGTTGTTTAGCAACAGCAGCAGAAGGTAAACATGAACAAATTGCAGCTATTCCCACTCTCTTCCCAGTTTTGGAAGCTCTGCCATGCAAATGCTATTTTTTTCTTCTTAGCAAACCTGACTCCTTCCAACACTTCTTCAAAGCTGCTATCAACCCCTTTCAAGGCTTCCAGGTCAGACACCAGAAAAATGCAAGTCTTACCAAGCTGCAGTTTATCTCAAAGTTCTGTTACCTCAAAAAGCTGAACCACAGGACAAGGTTCCATTCAAAATCTTTCTCCCACACAGAAACCAAAGAGAGAACATAAGCCTCTGGTTTCCCACAGGACTAACAAATGTTTAAAAGCTTGGATTTTTCATTCCTTTTTTTGCCAGTTCCATATGACAACTTCTTGAGAATGCATGCTTAAAATTTTTTCAAGACAGAAAGGTTCAACAGGTTGCATGTTATGCTTTAAAAAACCCAAAATGTTGAATAATACAAGTTAAATAAAACAGAACAGCTACAGAAATAGCTCTACCCACTTTTGAAGTCAGTTTTGCAGCCTAATCCATTTCCAAAAAATAACAACAAAAAAGAAATAACAAAAATAAGCAGCACAATTTTTGGTCTTTCATCCAAGCTGCAAAATTATCAAGTCAATAGCAAACATTTGGTAATGTTGAACATATGATTAAAGAGAGACAGGCTGCGTTCAGCCAGAATACTGAAACAGATTTACAAACAGATCACATCATCATGATCGAGCAAGGCTCTAATTCTCCTCCTCAACCCAAAAAAGCAATAAATATGTATGGTACAGGTAGGAAATTAACCTTGAATATCAGCAAACAACTACCACACCTTGATTTCACAGATTCAAATGAATTAATTTTTGTTTTGCTTTATTTTTTTTTAATGCAGCTCTTGTGTCACAGAAGGTAGACTGCCTGTACTCTCTGTGCAGCCCAGGGGACAGCTAATTGTAATGCCCTTTCATGAAGAAAGAACATAGAACAGTTTTAAGAACCACAGGAGCCTTGGTCAAACCTCTGCTGTAAGGGGCTCACAACCACGCAGGTGTGAATGCACAATATTGACACCCGGAGTACTGATTTCACTGTGCTACCAGCCAACAGCTGAAGTGATACAGCTGCTCAGTCCTGTACCCTCACAGTATTTCTGTTCCTTACCATTTACCTGCCATGCTCGATGGCATCCACGTTGGTAAAGAAGGTTGAACTACTCTAATTAGAGGATGGTAAATATGAAAAATCATTTACTTCCACAGAGAACATCTGTAAGCTTTCATACCTTAACACTTTATTTAAAGTCTCAGTATGTGATTGAGAGATTAATAACAAATGGCCTCACTAAGAAAACCTATGTTCATGAACACCAAAAAAAGAGACTCAGACCTCGCATTTCTCCTGGTGAAGAAAACCCCAGTCACTACTGGCAGGTGATCTAAGGTGGGTCACATCCCCGTGGACACACAAGCCAGCATTTCACGGATCATTCCCGCTGTCCCACGAGAGCGGAGCCTGCCTAGGGCAGGCACGGGGTGCGGCAGAGGCGAGCAGGGCTCTCACTCCGCAGCGGGGCAGGGAGATCCCTTCGGACTCTGGCTGCCATGGAACCGTTCCCATCTCTTACTCAGCTAAGGCTGACTAAGGCTGCCAGCCCTGGGTGTTCGCAGAGGTCAGCTCCTCCCTTCCCCCGTCCGCCCGCGGGCGCGCCCCGGCCCGGGCCAGCCCTGCCCCATCGGATACACCGGGCACAGGGCCGGCCCTGCCCCATCGGCACCGGCCCTGCTCCATGGGCTCCACTGATGCCGGCACCGGGCCAACCCTGCCCCATGGGCACCGGCGCTGCCCCACGGGCACCGGCCCTGCCCCATCGGACCCTCCTGGCACCGGCCCTGCCCTGTCAGATCCCCGGAGCCCCGACTGCCCCATGCGCTCCACTGCTCCCGCCACTGGGCCGGCCCTGCCCCATGGGCACCGGCCCTGCCCCATCGGATCCACCCGGCACCGGGCCAGCCCTGCCCCATGGGCTTCGCTACTCCCAGCACCGGGCCGGCCCTGCCCCATCGGACCCTCCCGGCACGGCACTCGGGGCTCCGGGGAACTCTCCCCAGACGCGGGTGCACCAGGGGTTCGGCATGCCAACCCTCGCCTCTAGCTACGTTTTTATGCGCGTCCCCACAAAACGAGACCGTTTGTATCCAGAGCCGATGTGACAGCTCCAGTCACCCTCAGGCAGGCAGGGTTCCAAGAGCTGTAGCCTCAGAGCGCAGCCTTTCCTGGAGCAACCTGACCCCTGCAGCTGCACCCTCACCTCCTTTCAGCATCCAGCCTTAGCTACAGAATGCTGCTCTCTCGATTGATCCTCAAGTCCATGGAAATGCTTGAAAGAAGCACAGTCCTAAGACACAGAATCATAAATATCATCATATGTGATACACATATAGTATTCTCATGTATTGCATGAGATATGATCACCCCTACCTTCAGCATTATCCTAGAATTCAAGACTCACTCCCACTCTCTTTTGAAATTATCAGGCACAGCGCATCTCTGGAAGATGAGAAGATTTACTTCTCATCTTCACGAACCAGGTAACTGAGTCTTGGGAAATAACCTAAAATACTTTTTGCTATTTCTTTTCTTTTCCCCTAGGGAAAAGAAAAGAAAGAAAGAAAGAAAGAAAAAAAAAAAGCCCCTTCTGGGGTCAGGGAATTGTTACTTACTTTCCAATACAAGCAGATGATAAATTGTTAAAAGTGCTACTGAGTACTAACGGATCGCCTTAAATTTCTTTGTGCGACCTTGTTCACAGTGTCCTACAAAGCAGCAGCAGTTGACTTGTGTAATCTTTTTCCATTTTCAGCATCAAACTTCACCCACTACTGAAATGAACCCTTGCACAGTGCTGATACAGAAATAAACTCAATTACGAAGGCTAATTTAAGATAAATTCTTAACAGTTCAGGCCAGATGAGATACCCTGGCTACACCTCAATAGATTCCATGATTCTTCTTCTCCCTGGGCAGTTTTCTTAAGGGTTCAGGCTGTACCTGCATGACCGCAGCCTGGGGGACTGGTCCCTTGTCAGACTTCAAACCCATTCAAATACCTTTCTTCCCAAGGGGCACCACTGCTTGTCCAGCACCCTTGACTCCTCAGCCAGTATTTGCCTGCAGGAGCCACCCTCTGCAAAGCACGCACTGAGCATGCAAAAGTTGCACACAAATAGAGGCAAATGGAAACGACAGATATAACCAAAACACAGACAACTTACAAGCTGTATGAAAACAAGCTCAGACCTTCGCTCTTTCCTCAAACACACTTCGAAATCGAGCACTACTCGCAAGTAAACTACCTACCCGGAGCTCACCCGTCTTTAAACGCTAGAGGCATAATAAGCAACCATTTAATAATTGCCCGTGACTCAGAGCACTGAATAAGCGATGCATTTTAAACAAGTGTCAGGACAACTTTTCAGCGCCGCTGCAGCCCGCGCCCCCCTCCCCCCGCTCGCTGCCTCCCTGCCAGCCCCGCTCGCTCCTCGGTGCGGGCTTTTGTTAAGTTGTTGACTGCGAGGGCTGGCTATAAATAGCGCGGCTCGGCCCAGCCCGGCCCAGCCACCCCAAGTTACCGCGCTCAAGTTCACACAAGGGCGGCGGATCCCCCCGGCCCGGCGGGGGCGCCCGGGAAGGGCGGCGGAGCCGCCGCTGCCTCCCTTTGTCTCCCGCAGGTGAGCGGGCGCCGCTCGCACACGGCAGCGCGGGCGGCCCGGCCCGGCAGCGCGGCCCGCGGCGGCGCCCAGGTGCGGAGCTGCCTCCCGGCGCCGCCGACTCGGCGCTCCCGGCGCCGCCCGCGGAACGGAGCCGCCGCCACCGCCGGGGGCAGCGCGGGGCGGCGCCGCCCGGAGCCCGGCTGGCGCGGGGAGCGCTCCGCGAGGGGCACAGGCAGCGGCAGGGCGGGAGGGCGGCCCGGGGGGCTGCGGCCCCTGCGCCGGCCCGGGCGCGGACGTTCCCCCGCGGGGCCACCCAGCCCTGCCCGCCCGTCCCAGCGGCGGCAGCGCCGCGCTCGTTCCCGTTCCCGTTCCCGTCCCCGCCCTCCCTCCCCGGCGGGCGGAGGGGCGCGGCGCAGGCACCCACCTGCCGGCCGGGCCCCCTCCGGCTCCTGCTGCGGCGGCTCCCGCTCCGCTCCCGCCGCGGCCCCGGCGAGTGTCGGCTCCGGGGCACGGCGGCGTCACCGCGGGTCACGTGCCGGGGCGGGCCCGGGCGGGGGTGGGGCGGGGGCGGTGCCCGGGACCGCCCGGCCCCCGGTGAGAGATCGGCGCTCGCACCGGTCCGTCTGTCGGTCCTGCTGTCCGCCTCGCCGGAGCGCTCCGGTGCGCGGCTGGAGCGGTGCCAACAGCTCCCGAGTGATGCCGTGTGTGAAACACCCGGGCCTCTCTGTCCCTGCTGAAACGAACAGAGGAAAAACAAAAACACCTTCCTCCCTGCAAACAGGGTTGTTTGATTGTTCAATAGACGATACCTGAAGAAACCACATTTTTTAAGTAGTTACCAAAGTGAAATAATAAGAAATAGTCCTCCACATTTATTTCGAGTTAACTCACTTGGTATCTCTTACTATATTAAAAAAAAAGTTCTCAAACATTGTTTGAAAATTTTTAGGTGGCCTTCATAGCATTTTCAAATTGTAAGTAATCTTATCTTTGTCTTTGAAAAAGCAGTATCTGGTTCTCCTGGTTGCAAAGATAACCTTGAAAGCATGAACTGACTGTAACTGATCCAGCAGTATCTGAATGAATCTGCAAACATCCTGAAACAATGGCATGGAGATGTGTAAACTGTCTGCTCTCTATTAATCTAATGAAGGATAATGCTGGTCTAACTTCTTCTTTGACTATTTTAACAAAGGGAAGGAGGAAGGAGACAGTAAAACCATCAAACGGTGGAAAGAACAGGTTTGCTGAGGGAGGGACAAGCAATGGGAAAAGACCTGAGAAGTGCCATTAAGAGAGAGAAACAGACTTTAACTGAAGAAAAGATTAAAACAGCATCAATAGGTTTAATTGAAGATGTGGACATATTTTCATATGGAAGTGCAGTCCATCTTGAACTTGCAATACTGATAGTTCTTTGAAATCTCATATGTGTAATGCAACAAACTTGCAAGACAAGTAGAAAACACTACATACATCTTAAAGCTTCTTCTTCTCAAGCCTGAGTACTTGTGGGAATGTCCCCTTGACACCAAGGATCATTTGACTTTGGGCTGTCTGTTCACAACACATAATTATTAAAATTCTGTTGGTGCTGTAAAACTGATAGCACTGTCACACCCATGCCTTCAACAGTTATTCACAGGGTCTGGAAAAAACAGACTAGACATCAGCATTTGTATTGTAAGGGAAACAACATCTCATATATAGATGTCCATTGTTTGTCCTTAAAAGGCAAAAGAAATGTGAAAAGGACAGTCGTTTTTTATTCATGCTCACTCTTTTGTAAATTACACGTGAAAAAGATACAGAGTAATTTTGGATGTTTCTGTCTAGTAGGATTCTATCTGTATGCCCACTTTTGTGGTAAAAAATAATGTACTTGGAACACTTGGGTACTTCTGAACAAGCTAACTGCATTTTACCTGCTGACATGCCTGAGGTGTACATAAAAGCATCCCAAAAATCAGTCACAGTAACCACATTGTAATTATCCCTCCTTACTGCCAAGGCTTCACTAGAGTGCTGCAGGATATGGCATTAGTGATTCAGTCTGAGGCACTCTTCCCTCTGAGTCAGGGTTGAACCAATGGTCCCACATAAGATCAACAGGCATAATAGAGCTGAAGGTGCCAGAAGATATGTAATTTTGAGTCCCTGCCCAAGTGCAGTCATGAAAGATTCCACATTACAAATAAACTGTCCAGCCCAAGTTCCAATTTTAGTATCTGTTGCGTATTCTGCCCATGAAGGATTTCTCTGCCCTTTCACTGGAGTAGAAAGAGCTAAAGTTCACAACCTTTACTCACCATGACTTGTTTTTCCCAGAGATGTAGAAATGCTGCCATACTCATACCTCAGATGGGACTGCATGTATTTATTAGTTGGAAACATGCAGTAGATGTACTGACCTCACAAATCCCAGGCTGAAAGAACTGCCAGCTATAATTGCTTTATGTAGTACACGAGAGCTATGGTAGAGAGCACAGGACTCAATTCATGTACCTATTGTGTTCTGACTGTTCTGCATCATACCTTGCACACAACAACATCAATCTCTCTCTTTGTAAACTGGTTCCTTAGGAAACATCAGTGTTTGAAGTCTCTATCTGTTCTATTATGCCAAACCTTCAAAACCTTTGTCCAAATTTAGCTGTGTTTGCCAAAAGGGAGTTCCCTTAAAGGTGGTTAAGCTCCCACAAAATCTGTGGAGGCAGTCAGCCATATAGAGGTGGAGAAGAATCTACGTAAGAAAGTGACATCATAAACACTGCAATTGTGGGGGAAAAAAGATGATAGTTACTATCTATGATAAAACACAAATCCATAGAAAACAAGCTTCCCAGTTCTGAAAATCCAGTCTTGAAAAAATCCATTTCTGGTGTTTGAATAAGACATAGAAATGTTACTTTCACTTCTCAGATTCAAAGTTCTCAAGTACTAGTTTTATATGCATAAAAAGCTGAGCCTATTCATTTTGAAGGTGAAATTGCCATATTTTTCTTTTCTATTTTTTTCCTTCTGAGTCTATCAAATCTCTGCAAGTTCAGCTGTCCATTATTTTATGCCTCAGTCACAGTAATTCTAGATGTGTGTCATGTTTTAATTAATTAGAAATGCGTATCTGAGAGTGGCTGCTGCCATCCTGTTACTCATAGTGCCAGAACTGGTGTTAGGTAACCAGCAGAAATGTGCTGCTGAAAACGTGATTGGTATTAAATCTGGGTTGTTTATTCATTGTTTGCCACCCCTCCTTACCAAACATAATCTCATTATGAACTGTGTTGATTCTTTCTTTTGGAAATGACTAAGAAGGCAAATACAAGAAGCTTTGTCACATCTAACAGGCAGATACTGCAAATATCCACCTTGCTCATTTTGCTGTCTCCTCAAGTTTTCACTTCTTTTTAGAGACCTTTTCCCTTTTTGGTCTTATAACTTTAGCAGTGATATGCTTTAGAGAAACTATTCTGAATTTAGACAAATGCACTTATTTCAGCAAATATTTTTTATATAAATAGAATATATTTTTATTTCATTTTTAATCCTACTTACAAATGTATTTTATACAATGGTTGAGCTTGCCTGATCTAAAACACATTACCTGGGACATCTCCTGTGTACTCTGCTCCTACTCTCAGTTTTTTGACAGCTTTCAGCCTCTCACCTCTATCTAAAAATACTCTTACCACCTACACGTAGACATACAATCAATTCCTTCTTTCTGTTCTTTCTCTGTACTACAAAAGCACTTTTTCACAAAGTGCAGATGCTGTGGGCTTTTTGCATGAACTTGTCAATTTGCTCCCCATCTCTTGACTCAACTAATAGATGAGCCATTTTTATTTATATAACTGTGCATTAGAATGAAAATCAATTGACGAGGGAACAACCAAAGTAAAGACTGTAGAAAAAGGAACCCAGATTTCTCACCAGCTCAGTAAAGAACTTCTTTCACCATGACACTACAAAGGAATTTTCTGCCTTAAGGAGGAACTTTCATCCACATTTCAGAGAAGATGATTTGTTGTACTGTGAAAAATCAGCAAGGAATTTGTAAAATTTTTCCATTTTGCCAGCAGATTATTTTTGCAAATTGTATTAGGCAGAGTGGACAGTGGCCAACACATGCTTTTTCACTCTGCTCTGTTTGTTAGCCGTGTCACCATTGTGATCCTCAATATTCACATCTCTCTTGGAGCACCCAGTGGAAGCTGTAACAAAAATTCAAACATACCTATTGTTTGTATTTGCAGTCTCAGCTTGCAAGTGAAGGACATTTTTTGCAGCTATCTGATTGTCAGCCTTACTAAAGAACAAAGTGAGATTTGTTTTGGCCTAACAGATCTTTTGATTCTGCTCTTGCCAAGAGCTGGTTCCCTACTCACCTGTGTAATTAAACTGTTTATCACCTTTCTCTTATCGAGCACAGTATTCCAAACTGTATCACTCCTGTGTGGAGCACTAAAATATACCTCTGAGTCACAGCACAGAATTAAAAGTGGAGAAAAGTAATGAATAATTTTCTGACTGAATAGCTAAAGCCTGCAGTACATGAAGGCAGACACTTCTTTGTGCTACCTTGGCATAAGACCTCTGCCTAAGCTAAATCTTACTCATCTTTGCACAGCTAGTCGTGTCTTGATCTCATCATGGTTTGAGCTAACAGGCAATTAATCCTTCTAATAGTAATAGCTATTCTTATAAACCTATAATTATAAGTGCTCATATTCAAAGGCACAATGTAAATGTCCATTTATACCTTGGAGAATTAAGGATAGCCCTACATAAGTGTCTTTAATTTCTACGTACCTTGTATGTTTTCTAATGAAAAGGAAGGGCTGTCTATCAACCACTGATAAGCAGAATCTAAATAATACATAGATTTGCAAAAAGAATTAAATAAAATCTAGTGTGATAAATGTTTTACTCATGTTGAAATAAATTTTATTATACTGCACCAAATTCAGGCTTAGAGAAGGTTCACAGGGGAGTTTCTGGTTCCTCAAATCACAGCAGCTCAGAATTTACTTCAGGGCAAGAGTCTGGCATGGCTTGGTAAACAACCCAGTCACTGGTGGATGCTCTGAAACTGGAAGCTCCAGCTCACACTGCACATTGCTGGTCCCATGCAGCCACAGAGGCTCCTCAAGGTCCAGCAAAGCTCCCAGGGGATGGTCAAAGTGAAGTTACGTGAGGCTGTCTGGTTAATACTGGGTGTTTTTTTCTGAGGAACAGCAGAAACTGACAGCCTGGATAGGTTTCCCCTCATCTTCACAAGCATAGCTATAAGTCAGAGGAGAGGCTCATCCTGCCCAAGTATTTTTTGGATATCTATTAGTGTGTATCTACATCAAAGATGGATGACAAAGCTCCCTTCAGACACAGTGGACTTCTATTTATCACAATCAAAGGAGTCTGGGGAGTAATTCATCTCATCTCAGGGTAGGCACCCATATGTGATCAGATCAATTGCACCCTACAGTCTGTTCATGTACTTAGTGGAAATCACTGCCAGTGGAAATGGTG